AAAAGAGAGAGATCGCCAGATGTCAGAATGACATGGGTGAGTGTTGTAAGTTCATTGTCTGAAGGAGGGCACATTCGCATGTACGGGAGTCCATTGACAATATCCATGGGAATGATGAAGCCATCATTGGTGTGGATGCATTGTCGTCCACCACATAGGAGGGATAGATCATCGACTCGGTTCTGGTAGTGCTCGATCGGACCGGATGAATGGATGGTACGGTTGATACCATGGTAAGCATACTGGCGGAGCACAACTATGATTGGACCTCGGTGTGAGGTTACTTTACCAACTCCATCAACGATCTTCAGAACGTTCATCTCATGGTTGTAAATGCCAGTGACATCAACATGCCGTTGGTGTGTAACCGTGACGCGATCATCCTTACCAAGGTTCCCGCCGTTGGCTTCCCTATCAACAAGGGAACTTCGATCGTTCTTATGTCGATTCACAGTGGTCTGAACTGCTTATCGATATAGGGAACGAGGGTTGTCATCTGCATCGGGAGGTACGGCCGAAGGAGTGGCGTGAAAGTGTACCCCGAGAGGTACGTTTGGTGGGGGGTGTGACATTTGACTTAGTGTGTTCGCGGGCCTGATGAAAAATCCTTGCTTCGTCGCGGAATCTTGAAGAGCAGACCGAAGGACTTGGATGCATCTCCAGTGGTATACTGTTGTGATACATCAGAGGGGCGATAGGAACTGTCGGAGCTCCTGGGTTCAGATGAGCTGGGTGAGAGAAGGTCCTGTCTGTAACCGGGTGATGACATGAGGTTGCAGATTGATCCAAAGGTGCCTGTGGTCGTCTTGAACGGTTCCTTCTTTTTGGACCTGCCCTTTCGGCCTCGAGATTGTGAAGAGGTGACAGTAACAACCCAAGAGGGAATCTGGAGTGCCGTCAGAGACGGGCGTGGTTGTAGGGATCGAGGCAGAGGATGCCGTTGCTGTCGCAGGTGCGACAGCGCAACAGGAGTCTGTCTGAGCACTCGGCGTTGTCGGACAGCTTTGCGGATTCCATGGGTGGCTTTGATGTGGGGCATGGATGTGTCTTCCGGAAGTCAGCTCGTTTGGTGTCGCGAAATTGAGGTCAGTGTCGATATGGCTCCAAGTCAGAGAGAGGATCGAGTTGGAGTTGGAAAATATCGAGCGCTGGGCGAATCGATCATCGCGGTATCTCCGTAGGTGCTTCTGTGACGGTTCTTCTTCCGCTTGTAAGATTGGCCAAGAACTGTTGCTCAAGCTTGGTGCAGCTGGCGTTGACGAAGCAAGAGTGTATCTCCAGGTTGGAATCTGATGGTATGGTGGAGCCATGGGTGTGCCAATCACAGGAGGTGTCGTAGGTTCTAGCTGTGCTTCCATGGCCGAGGAGATGCGCGACGTGTCCAGAGGCGAAGGGTTCATCGCACAGAACTTGCGGTTCGAAGGTGTGGTACCCTTATGATCCTCTTGGATTTGCTGTTGGGTATCGTATCAATAGCCTCGTATTGGGAGGTACCGTAAGCAAACTGTGAGAAAGCCTGATCATCGGATGGAAGGATTGCCTCTCCATCATCGAGTGCGGGCATTGGAGGATCCGCTTCGTTGGGTACGTCGAGGAGGTCCACTGGTGCCGTCGTATTGTCACGAGAGTTTGTGTTTGGCTGTCATCGGATTCATCAGAGAAATATACGAAGGGTTGCCAATCAGGTCATCTCTGGCTCGCTGAACAACATCCGTGGGAGTAGGACTCGTAGGATGAGCGATCAACCTCGTACCTCGCGTGTAGCCGTATTGGTCGACTGTGATAGGACGGACGCGATATCACCGGCGAAGGACGTTGGCGTTGAATGCGTTTGTTGCACGCGAGTGCAATAGGTCAGTGTCCGTCTGGTTGGACTGGTTTGTGCGAGGACATTCTAGGTTGCCTGCTCGGGCGTGGTGCTGCCTGCGAGGAGGTCGTGGGATTGACTGAGCGGGATGGGCTTGATTGCCCAGAGTTGTGTGACTACGTCGAACAGCAAGGTCAGCCGTGTAGTCAAAAATGCTCTTCTTGCCCTGCTCGGAGATATTATCCATGCCTCTTGTCCGACTGGACAACGACCGCCATGTGTTTGCGTTCATCATACCTTGCGTGGACCACGAGTGTCTGTCTGATGAGCTTGCAATAGACTTCCACCGGTGTATCAATATCATGGACGAATGCCTCATAGGTGTCGCCACAGTTTCCGCTGTACCATCGTCGAAGAGATTTCGTGTTGGTAGGTGCGACGACGGGCGTTGCTTCGAGAGCGTGTGGACGCCGCATGATTTGCATTGTCATGCAGGTTGCCGGTCTGCTCGAGAGTTCCGCTTAGAGTTAGGGAGTGTGCAGCTGCCTTTTTGGTCTGCATTGCGAGCGTCGTACGGGAGCGAGATTGGTGCCTTGGAGATTGAGCGTTCCAAGAAACGTGCCCCCTGTTTTTCAGTGTATGGCTCGTCGCTGATCTCTTGTACTGCCGAAATTGTTCGGAGGAAGTTGGAGATGAACCGCTTGGGACCTCTCCATGCCTTCTGCGATATCGGGGAGGTGAGATAACACAAATCTTATCCGAGCGCAGGTTGCGACCATGGACTTGGAGTAATATCGTCAATTGCCTTCCAGATCGCGCAAGTGTCCTTGCTGGTTTCGTTGGCAAGGACGACAAATCTTGCGTGTGCTTCTTGGAAGATGTCTTCGAAGGTCTGTACATCCATTCTCGTTGTTTCTGGTCTAGTTCGACGTTGGTGACGTGAAGTCAGAATCAATGAGGTGGGAGAGACCTTGAGACTTGAGCGTTGTGAGGAAGTTCTTCCTCCTTTGATGAAGACTGATTCATCGCGAAACTCTCTGACACTCTGAGCGGACGGGCTTTTTGTTCTTGTCCCAAAGTGCGATTGCACGTTCCCCATCGGTCATCGTGGCATCGCTGCGTCTCATTTGTTGCCATGGGACGATTTCGCCGTGTGGCTGGAAGAGTCCAACTCTGAAAGCGTCGAGTGCGTCGGCCGTCATGTGTTACGACGCGGATGGGTGCTTTCCTCTTGGACGACCAATGGTGATACACTGTATCGCCGCGAGCAGAAGTTCTTCCTGGTGAGAGGTACTGGTCTTGCAGTGCCGTTGGGTGTCGTTGGAAGCTTGGAGATCCATAACTTAATCTTTGGTGAGAAGTAGGAGATCCATCCATCCGTCGATTCCTTGTTCAGACAGTGCGATGCGCATGTGAGATGCATTGTACCCTGGGTGTGAAGCATCTTCGCCGCATAGGGTGCATAGAACATGCTTGAGCTGGCTGCTTCATCGGCCATCTTGATGAAGGTGTGGCAGTGCGTAATGCGACTAGTTAATCTGCTAACGTGGGGAAATACTACTTGAATAGAGGGATCTTGTAGAGGTAGCTACCACCCACGAGATCAACTGCAACTATTCAAGAGAGTGCAAGGTAAATGCAAAGTTCGCTTTTAGTAATTCATAATCTTGTTGTGAGCTTTGATTGATGCGATCAGTTAAAGCTAGTTGTAGCGTGTTGGATCAATACATCGTGGTAGTTGATACGGAAGTCAACGTGGTATCTGCGGGAAACGGTTCGTTGGCAGGATGCTTTACTCCTGTCGAATCTCCAATTTACCGTGTCCTTTGGTTTCGTTGAGAACGTGTTCTTGCCAGCGTTCTCTGTTCCATCGTGTTGACTCATAAAACATGACTCAATCTACTCACGGATACTCTGAGTCGTGGGAGGAACTGTAACGCTTTCAACATAGGGTGGGGCTGGTGGGGCTCCCATTGCAGTGCCCTTGAGTTGCCGCCATGTGGTGTCACCGAAGTGGAAGAAGCTCCACTCCATAATGAGAATCAGTGCCTTAAGGACTGCCTTGATGGGCAGGTCTGGGAACTGTTCTTGGTTGTCTTTGAGCCACTTTGAGATCTTGGTGATGGCTGTCCTCGTGGGAATGTTGGTGTACATTGAGGAAGCATCAGCTGTGAAAAGTTTGCAGTTTGGTGGTAGCTGCAGGGACATGAGCTCCTGTTTGAGATCGAAGGAGCTTTTGAGGTAGGATCTCATTGACTGAGCAACTGGCTGAAGCTTGGAGTCAAGCCAGATGCCCAGCCCCTCCAGCAGGCTGCCACTGTAGTAGACAATGGGCCTGGTTTTTAGGGGTGTTTTGTGGACTTTCATTGTCGAGTAGAAATAAGCAAATGGTTCCTCATTCTTCATCATCATAGCTTTGAGGAATTTTCTCTCCTTGTCAGTGCAGGTAGTGCTGCCATAGTTCTTGAGCCACTTCAGGAGATGCTGTTTCACTTTGTCTTTGTAGTGCTCAACCTTGTGGGGTGGGATGAATTCATAGGTGATTTCATCATCAAGGTGGTCTCGGAATGCATGTTCAATGTAGGCATGCCGTTCAATTGTCGCTGGGCCCAGGTTCTTGTCACATTGGACGACCATGAGGGCATTGTTGCGTCTGAGTTGGCAGAGGGCACGCCGCTGGTGGGGCAGAAGGTTGGCTCTCCCTCTCTTCTTCCGGCTGAATTTGCTCTGGAGGAAGCTGCTGAAGCGCTGAAGGCACTGGTCTATGACTGGAGTGGGCACCATGTGGGCTGGTGGGAGACTGCAGATGCATTCGTGGATTGTATTTATCACTACTATTGTTATTGTCTGTGTTGTCCTCCTGCATGTGGCCAATACAGAAGGCTTTCACCCTCAGGTCCCTGGAGAACCTGGTGAGGGTGTTTGATTCGATGTCATTCCAAGTGTGGGAGTATCTAGGTGTAGGAATGAACTTGTGGCCCAGGCCCAACAGTGAGTAGAGGCCTGGTGGGGGCTTAATTGTCGTGGTAAGGTCGTGGTATGCAAGGTTGGTTGGCCTGGCAAAGTAGTACCAGGCCGGCATATGAAGGAGTCTAATTTGTACATTGTCGTGTAGATGGAGGTCGGGGTCTGAGACGAAGCCATATGTGAGCTCTATCTCCTTGTCGATCGCCTGGAGGACCTGCTTCTCCTGGTGTTGGAGTTCTGCCTCCTGCTGGGAGAGGAGCTTCTGGAGCGGCCTCTGTTCGATCTTGTGGAGCCTCTGGAGGTAGCGTTGCCTCTTCCTCCGGCTCTTCCTCCCCTTCCTCGTCCTGCCCTGCCGCCGCGGCCGCCTTGGCGGCCTCTGCTTTGGCTTCTTGGGCGGTTGCCTCTTGGGGCGGACTGGGACCTTCCTCGTTGGGTTCTGCCGCCTCTGGCGGACTGCTGCTGGTTGGGAGATTTCTTTTTGTTGCTGGAGGCGCCTCCCTGGGCTGGGCCCCTCCTGTTGTTTTTTGAGCTGTTGTTGTTTTGATTGTTGTTGCCTTGGTTGTTGCGCTGTTGGTTGAGCGCTTGGGTCACATGTTTGCCAGTGGCTCTGGCAATTTGCTTTTGGGTCTGTTTCAGTTCCTCCTGTACCATGTTCTTGACCAGATCCTTGATCTGTTGGGAGTCAGAGGCAGGTTCACTGTCAATCTCCATTGCAGTGTCCTCTGTGGCCTTGGTTGTGAATGCCTCTTTGTGTAGCTTCTTAAGAGCAAGGGACTTGACATTGTTTGAGGATTGGTGCTGGTACTGGTCAATGGGTGTACAGAACACACTGGTGATGAGTCTCTCCAGCTTGGCCAACTCTGGGATGGAGGGCTGCTGGGCTTGTTGCTGATATTGTTGTATCTGCTGCTGGAACTGCTGCAGTGCCTGCTGGTGTTGCTGGAGGGCCTGCTGGTATTGCTGGAGCTCCTGCTGGTGTTGAGTCCATTGAGTTTGGTACTGTGCCAATGTCTGTTGATATGTTTCCATTGCCGATTTGTAGGTAATTGCTGCATCATGGTCTTGTTCCAGCTGAGACTGGGCTCTCTCTTTGGCTTCATTGTAGTCCTCAAAGGACTCGGCACTAGCGCCTCGTGCTAGGCATCGCTGGATGTGTTCCTGGGTGGCCTCGAGGTCGCTGTGGCTGGAGACAGCAGTCAGTTGGTCGATGGAATAGGGGCCCTGCAGGTGAGGAGCCGGGGGTTCTGCTGGCTGGACAGGCGCATGTGTTGTTGGCTGAGCAGGTGCCACAGGTGGCTGAGGCTGTTGCTGAATATCAATTATTGGTAATGGATCAGGCAGGGTTGCGAGACCTTGGACGTTAATGTATATTGTTCTAAATGCTGCTAGGTCAATGCCAGTGTGTTTGAGCAACACCTCGTGGTGTGCCTCCAGGATGGTGTTGACAATTGCATGGCCATTGAGATTCTCTCTGCCGCGTTAGTCCAAAACCTTTGCTCAGCCTACTCGAAGGCAGAGACGTGGGAATCCTTTGTCACCGACTTCAGAGGGCGCTCCTACCTTGCTCCGAACCTGGAGGATGTCGACCATCCTGCTATCCCCTTGCTCTGCCACTGGAGAGACCATGGGGTCCCCGTACAAAACGAATCACCTCCCTGGACCACGGAACAGAAGGAGGAATGCATCCGCCGCGGCTGCCACAAATCTGCTACCGAGCATTCCGACTTCCTCCGTGAGGAATTTTCCGAGTTCATCGAGAACAAGTTCTGGGCTGTCCTTCCATTCGACCTCGTCAAGGATGAACCCTCCCTCCTTCTGTCTGCCGCTGCGGTAAAGGTGGAACGAGACCGAAAACCCCGACTCATCAGCGACCACACCTGGAACTGGGGATGGCCCTCCGTGAACGAAACCACATCACATCACGCACCGCCCGAGGCCATGCAATTTGGAAATGCCCTGCCGCGCATCCTGTACGATGTGCGTCACGCAAACCCCAAGTTTGGACCCGTCCGCCTCTGCAAGCATGACATCAAGGACGGCTTCTACCGTATGTTCCTGAACCCTTCCGACTGCATCCGACTCGCGCTGGTGCTGCCTCGCTATGAAGGTGAGCCCCAACTGGTGGCCGTCCCAATGTCGTGCACCATGGGATGGGTCGAGTCACCGCCCACTTTCAGTGGCATGTCGGAGACTACCTGCGACCGAGCAAATGAACGCTTCCTGAAGTCCCCCAGAGCCTGTCCTCCGCACAGGCTTGAGCATCACGCCGAAGGAATGGATGACCTGGACCCGTCCACCACTCCAAGACCACGAGAAAAGGAGGACCTTGCGGCAACGCAGGAACTCCTTGGGATAGCCACCTCCCCCTTGGAGGCCGAGCCGGACCACTTCGCTGGACCCTCGAACAGACCTCTGCTCCAGCCCATCGGGCGAAATGATGTGTTCGTTGACGACTTCATCCAACTAGGCCAAGGAGGAAAGACCCGTATGAAAGCACTGCGTAGGCACTTGCTCCATGCCATCGACGAGATCCTCGCACGCCCAAACCTCAGCGAGAAACATCGCAATGAGGCAGTCTCGCTCAAGAAACTCCTGCAAGGTGATGGAAGCTGGGCTACTCGAAAGCTCATCCTGGGATGGATCATTGACACCCTGCGACAGACTCTGGAACTCCCTCCCCACCGGAAGCAAGCGCTCGCTGACATCTTCAAGGAATTAGCCGGGTGTCGCAGAGTCAGCCACAAGCGTTGGATGCAAATCCTCGGCAAGCTGCGCTTCGTCTCTGTTGCCATCCGGGGTTCCGCTGGACTCTTCAGCGCGCTCCAGCTCGCCCTCACGAAGTCCAAAGGAGGAAGAATCCGGATCAACACCGCATTGAGATCCCACATCGATGCCTTCGCTGATCTGGCTGCCAGCCTCTGCCACCGCCCAACTCACCTGGCTGAGATCGTCCCCCAGGACCCATCCTTCTTCGGAGCCACCGACGCCGCCAAGGCTGGAATGGGCGGTGTCTACTTTGACTCTGAGGAAACTCCTTACCTCTGGAGGCTCCCGTTCCCTCCCGATGTGCAGGCTCGGCTCGTGTCCACGGACAACCCGACGGGAACCGTCACCAACAGTGACCTCGAGCAAGCAGCCATCCTTGCGCAACACTCCTTGCAAGCGGCGCGGCACTGCGTCACCTACGCCACCCTCTACACTCTCTCGGACAACACCCCGGCCGTCTCCCGAGTCTCCAAAGGGGCGGTCACCTCCGATGGTCCTGCGGCGTTCCTGTGCAACTACGCCTGCCGCCACCAGCGGGAGCACCGCTACTGCGCCCTCTCGTCCTACATCCCGGGTCCTGCCAACGTGATGGCTGATGATGCGTCGCGCCTACAACACCTCACCCTGCCTGAACTTCTCGCCCACTTTGAACAGCGCTATCCGCAGAACAGACCCTGGCAGGTGTTGACTCTGCCACCCGAGGTCAGTTCACAGTTGATCTCCGCCTTGCGCTGCAGACCGCTTCCAAAAACATTGTCTCCAAGACGGCCGCCGCCCGGGACCGGACCTTCGGACGATGGTGTGACTTCTGCACAGGCCTCAGCGTCAACCCATCCCTCTGTGATATCCCTGACCAAGAGGTCCAAGCCTGCTACCTCCTTGTCTTCGGAAACCGTTACCGCGAGTCTAACAATGTCCGAGCTGACTCAGTGGACAAGGCCCTTCTTGCCGTCGGGAAGGGGATCACCGACCTGGGTCACCCGGATCCCCGAAAGCTCAAGGCTGGATCCGACCACAACCATCCAATACTCGCTGCTTTCCTCAAAGGACTCAGAGATGAAGATGGACCCCCTGACCGCGCCTACCCCGTCAACCTCTCCATCCTCTGAGCTATGCTCGATGCCCTGGACTACGACGCCGCCACTTGGGGAACCCTCAACCGCCACGTCCGAGACCTCTGCATCCTGGCCTTCTTCTGGCTCCTACGCCCTGCGGAGTACCTGGACACCGGGAACCTTGAATCCCGAAGCCAAGCCTTTCGCCTCTGTGATGTCTCCTTCACTGTCCGCGGCGGCCTCCAAGTCCGCGGTGACACCATCTCTTTGAATGACGTGAAAAACCACGCGTGCCTCACCGATGCCACGTTTACGTTCACTGACCAAAAGAATGCTGTCCGCGGCGAGTCCGTGGGCCACCGCCCGACCTCTGATCCGTGGCTTTGCCCGGTGAAGTCCCTCGCGCGTGTGGTCTACCACCTCCGTACCAACGGCGCCGACGCCGATACTCCCCTCTTCAACCACTTCAATGCGGCCCGCAACCGGTGGTATCCTGTGAAGCCCCAGTTCATCACCAACACCCTCCGCCATGCTGCGGCCCTCATCTCCCACGACATCGGCATCAACCCTGACAAGGTCTCTGCCCGCTCCCTCCGTCCTGGTGGTGCCACCGCCCTTCTCTGCGCCCATGTGGACTCGGATGCCATCCGCCTTCTCGGCCGCTGGAAGTCCGACGCCATGCTCCGCTACCTGCGCATCCAAGCCGCTGCCGCCACCCACCACTACTCCCAACAGATGTTGGACCATGGGGCGTACAACTTCCCGGGGGGGGACCTACGATCGCCACCTCCTCCCGGCACAAGCGCTCCAACACTTCAACGAGATTCTTCTCCACGAAGAACTCTACGAGGACTAACCTACCCCTAGTCCTCGGCCCCCTGTCCTCGCCTCCACCTGGACAGGGGGTAACTTCTCCCACCCCGCTACGCTCCCTCCCTGTTCTGCCTTTGGCTTTTGGGTTGCACGACTCAAGGCTGTCCCGTGGAACATCACACTCCCGGGACCCCCTTTTGCCGTATGGGATCCATCCGGGACTCCCCAGTCCCGAATGGTACCCCGGGGACTGGAGACGGTCGGCTCAGTAAATGGCCGAGTCTCTCCACTCACCTAATCCTCTACTAGTCGTGTCTAGCTGCTCTGGGCGAGCGCAGCTTGTCTGCGCTCGCAAAGGCTAGACTTCTGTGGCTCGTAGCTCTAGTAACTGGTACCGTAGTTGCTTGGCTCCTTCCGTCCTTGGATTCATCAGTACCAGTAGTAGCTTGCCTTTTCAATGCAAAGTGTTTACTTGAGTAGCATAAGTTCGTTGGTGTTTGTTGTCCCTTGATGCAGTGATAGGTATGCCTGGTACGGTACTGTACGGTATGCGCGTAGCAGTCTTGATATTTTAAAATACACTCTGCTAGAAATGGCCCAACAGGGAGAATTCTCACTGTTACTTTCGGCCAAAAGCTCTTGGAGAATTGAGTCCAGTCCCTCCAGCCTTCAGCGAACCCGAAAAAGGCTGATGGTGGTGTTGATAAAGAGGTTGCTATAGTGTTGTGTTACTACTTGGTAGTTGTTGTGGTTGATTTTAGTAATCTGGTAACTGGATAGTCATAAATCGCTACCACAGGTCATTTTCGGTCCCCTCAAGCTAGAGGGGGATCTATCTCACGCTAGATTGCACTTGAAATGGGAAAACAGACTTCGGAAGTCTGAAACAGGATGTACCCTTGGGGCATGGCCCCTTGGAGGCTCAGACCTGCCGTTCACCAAACGGCCCACCCTATGGTCATGTTGCCTTTTGCAGATTGTTAGTAGAGGACTTTAGAAACCAGTCGCTGCCTCACAGGCCCGTTCTGGATCTTCGTCAACATATCGGCCAAATTGCTCTCTGTGTTCTCATAAGTGATGTTTGCCATGCCTGCAGCGACCTTTCACGGACATATGGTAGCGCACCGAGTTGCTCTTTTCTTCAAAGTAGACTCCGGGATGCTCGAGTTCTTGATCACGGACATGTTGTCCGCCTTGACATGAGCTGGACCATCGAGAGGGACTCCCATCATCCTGAGCTTGTACCGCAAGCCCTCCACAATCTCGATTCCAACCTTCATCGCCGCGAACTCAGATCCAAAGGAGGAAGTTTCAATGGAGCCCTGCTTCTTGCTATACCAAATAATTGGAGACATGTTAGCAAAGACGAGTACACCAGTACGCGAACGACGTGTCACCTTGTCCCAGCATGGTCAGAATCCACAAACATGGTGATTTGGATTGGTTTGCCGAGAGGCTTCGGCATGTCTGGGGGCAAAAGCTCTTTCGCATCGGCATAGAAATCGCTCCAGTCAGGTTGCTCTGGTTCCACATGATTCACATAGGAAGGATCAAAAACAAGGTGAGAACGACTGTGCTGCTTGAGATATGCCAAGATATGAAACACAGCGTCCAGGTGCCCAACTCGTGGGGCTGCACAGTATGAAGCCATGATTGAAACCTCGGTGCAGATGTCAATTCTCCCGAGTTCCACGGCCCATCGTAGCACTCCAATCTGCTGTTGAAAGTAATTTGTCCACTCGTCATCACAAAGGTTTGAAACATCCAACTCCGGGGTGTAATTGCTCGGTAACACTGAAGTTGCTTTCGACTTGAGCGTCTTCCCACGTCGCTCGAGCCATGCTCCACATTTCTGACAGCTTCCTTGACATACTGTTCAGATCCCATTGACCAACATGGTTTGTCAACGCCAGGGAGATTGTACTCCTTGACTGAAGCTCCAAGATACTGAGTTGGCTTTCCCAGGGATCCTGGCTTCGCAGGAAATGCTGATCCAGGTAGCAGAGTAAGGTATTTGGGTTAGTTGACAGGCAAAGGAGATCATCTGTGTATACCAAGATATACTCATAGTATTCCCTTCCGTCAGGCCTGGTGGCTGCACGAAACCAGACATCATTGTCTGCCTTACAAGAGGTGAACCCCAGGTGTCTCGCAGAACATCAGCTAAGTGGGCCCTCCATGCTGCTCCACTTGATTTGAGGCCATACAAGGGCCTTGACGACCTTTGCTTTGCGTCCCTCAAATGGGCCAAATTCCTTACCGATGTGATAAAGATCTTCTCTCGACTGGGGCATTCAAATATGCATTGCCAATATCAGCGGCCAATATATCCAAATCGTTCAGTGCTGCAATCAAGAAGGCCAGTCGTACACTCTCTCGACTGACAACGCTGGCGTAGGTGATGGACGAAGGTGGATCGGTCATATGCCCCCCGCAACCAGACGTGCCTTCCTTGTAAAGTCACTTTTAACATCAAAGACCATTGACAACGGATGTGAGTTGTCCGACTGGATCAGGGCATCCTCTTCCAGATCTCAAAAGCTTTGCCGACGGCTGCCATCTCTTTCTTAATGGCATCATGCCAAAAGGTTGTACCAGTCTCCTTGTCAATCTCAAGGGCATGCTCCACCGTTTTGGGAAGCTCAACCCCATATTTCTGTTCCTTGCGAAAGTAACGCTTCGCAACAGCAGAGATAATCCGATTCCGCTTCTTGAGGGTGTAAGGGACCCACCAAGAGAAAGCTGGCTCTGACTCCAAGCCATTGTTCTGGCATACTCTGCCGTCTGAATCAGGTAACCATCTTTATGTCCTTAAGGGACTGCCATGAGGTGGTCCCATCCTTCCACTGGCACAAAAGTTTCCACCTTTGGTGGTCCGTCGCAAAGTCTTCCTGCCATTCCGATAGATTAGGCGTCGTCCCCTGAAACAGCGTGTCCATCCTTCGCATGGTCCAGGATATCCGCCAATTCAAACAAAGTGTAGCCGTCATCATCCACCTGAGCATAGATAGACTCTGCAATGATGTTGGCCGAGTAGGCCTCGGTCTCGCCACTGTCAAACTCCACCTCATAAAGGGAAGTATCAAGCAATGGGTTAGAATTCGAGAGACCAATCAGTTTTCCATCTGAGTTCCTCTTGCGCTTGGTGACTGTGCCATAAGACATTTGGTCTCCCTGTGGGACACAAACACGAGTGCAATTACTTATCGAAGGCCTCAGTTGCATCTCATCTGCTTCTGACAACTCTGGCAGAGGAGCTGGGTCACGATCATCAATTGGCTCATAATACTCTGGTATCTCTTCATCCTGACGAGATTCAGCATCATCACTGCTGGCCAAAACATAACGTTGCCAAGGGACTTCTTCAGGGATTCTGTGAATGCTGCCTTCTTGGATTCAATCACCGGGCTCAGCTTCTCCTGGTCTGATAAGGGGATGACAGATGTCCTAGAGACCAACTGGCCCTTCTCGGTGAGGATTCGGGCACACATAGCGTCCCCAATGTCAGTGCTGGGGCCACAGTAGCGACCAAGGCGCTTCCTTTCCATTGACTCGCCCTGTCTCTCAGGAGAAAGGTACCAAACCCAATCATACCATCCAAACTCACAAATATGTGAGATGTCAGCAGTGTCCCCTGTCAAAAGAGTAGCGGGAACTTGACCATCCAACTCTCGGATCGGTAATGCGGTATGACTGCGAGTCAGCCCGCAGAAGACGAAACACATGTCCCAAAGGCATTCCAAGCTGTCAGTAGTCGTCATTGTTCTTCTGTAAGTTCTCTTCAGCTCTCGGATTAGGTCTTCCGCGAAGTTCTGGTTGGGTGTGTAAGCCTCAAACTGGATGGATAGGGCACTGAACTCGTTGTGCCTTTCGTCGAAACTCTCCCATGGTAAGCTCTTCGCGTTGTCTGGATCAAAACTCTTGGTATTCCAATCTTCTGGAAAAGTGAATCTAAGTCAAGTGAGCCTCCGACTTGGTCTTCATCGGGTCAACATGGCACCAATGAAACGGTGTGCAGTAGACCTGGGCACACTTGTTTCCCAGGAGGGAAGTGACTTGCCGTAAACAGTGTCGTATACATTTCAACGTTGAGCCGAGGATATCTGAGTTGATACGCCAATGGCTTCATCCTCCGTCCTCCACTCGCGTGGTGAAATCACGAACCGCTCCTGAGTTGTGTTCGCGATGGTTTTCTTGGCTGCTTCCAACCCAATATTCCACCGCTTGGCAAGTGCTTCCGCTGACACGGCTCCCTTCCTGGTAGGGGGTTCGTCTTGGTAGCAGAGATCTGGGCTTGAAGGGCTGGCCCAAGACTGTTGACGTCAATTGCAACGATGATCTTGATTCCAGAATTGACCTGATCGACTGAATTCTCCTATTCCGTCCCTTTCACTTGGCATGTCCGAACGCCTCGCTTGACATTCAGAACATTGTCAATAGACTCCAGAACTCGTCGACATCTTCGACCTTCAAGAGTTGGGAGGATCCGCAACATCAATTTCTTCTCGTTCGGACTCGTATAAAGCCCAAACTCTATTCAATCTCGCCAAACTGGCTTGGTTGGGAGTGAACTCACGCTGGATTCGTGTCATGTGAAACTTGTAGAACCGTAGTTGTCTGAGTCGCTTCTCAAGACAAATCCCAGCTGTCGTCCACGGTTGGGAACTTCTCTGGGCTGAACTGCTGCGGCAGCTTCGGCAGTGCTGCAGCCGCAATGGCTGGATTGGGAATGGTACACCTGGTTTCCTCACGTTCTCACAGATGCTCTTGATATCAGCATCGGTAAAGGTATCGGAGTGAGACGAAGGCATCCAATCCTTGATCATTCAATGCTGTCCTCGTGGCTAATTCGGCAATACGATGGTATTCTGTAGATAGTTGTTCATGGCTGCAAGATTGCCTGCCATATTCGCCTCCAATTACTTCTTCTCTGCGGTATCACTTGGATGAGCAACAGTTTTGGGTCTTCTTCTCTGCTCCTATTCCAACAGCAAACTGTACACACCCAGACAAGTAAGGCTGTATTCCACGGAATGAGCTCTGCACACCAGTCTGTGGCAGTCTAGCCAAAACTCTTGGATCAGGCGTCCCCTCTCCTTTGGCTCAATCGATTTCTTTGGTGACAATGAGGCAGGAATTGATCCAGACTGGAGGTGGATCAATATTCCAAGTCCAAACCTCTGCTTCCCACTTGGAAGTCTCTATCTCTCGCTCCACTTGAGAGAGCCCCTTCTTCTTGAGAGGTCTTCTGTTGCTATGCCGCTTGGAGGTCTTCTCTCCTTCTCTTCCTCTCTTGTTCTCTCTTCTTCTGTTCGAACGGTAGCTCCGAAACGGTAGCTTCGAATCGGCGACAATGGCGCTGCTTCGAATGAACGAACGAAAGGTATCTTTTCGTCGAACGGTAGCGTCGGCGACAATGGCGTTCGAACGGTAGCGTCGAACGATTAACAAACTCCTTCTTCTTCTTCTCAACGATCGCGACAAGCGAACGACAATGGGATATGACCTTCGCTTCGAACGGTAGCTTCGAACGAACGAACGAAAGCGCTGCTTCGAGCGGTAGCTTCCAATCGTCGACAATGGTAGCTCTTCTTCTTGTGCTTGTCGAACGACCGCTTGTTCTTCTGTCGATCGTGTAGCTAGGGTAGCTTCCACGCCTGATAAGCCGAAAAAGGCTGATGGTGGTGTTGATAAAGAGGTTGCTATAGTGTTGTGTTACTACTTGGTAGTTGTTGTGGTTGATTTTAGTAATCTGGTAACTGGATAGTCATAAATCGCTACCACAGGTCATTTTCGAACCAGCATGAAAAAAGAAACGGTTGGATGCTCTAGAGGGTTATCAACAAGCATTCTCGCTGTTGGGCCCATTCTCCCTGTTGGGCCGTTCCTAGTCTGTGACTCAACTCGACTCCTCGACTCGACTCAGTGTCATTCATCGAATGACGTTCGAACCAAAACTTTTGCGGAACAAAATGAGGGAATGGTGAGGAACGGAATCATGGAGGAATCTTCGCCAGATACCGTACAAGCAGCTAGCCAGACGCCATCACCAGCACTATTATCTGGTGATTTGTTCCAGACCACATCATCGGCACCACTCATCGAAGATTGCTTGCTTCAGTTAGCTGCTGCCTCCTTTACGATACATCATTCGGTATCAGTAATTGAATCGTTGCGTCGACCAAGGATCCATTCATATCGTTTGGATTACCTCCACTCTCCAGTGTTGCTCGGACGCTCTACCAGCTGTGTTCACCGGAACTTTATCGAAGATCCAACAGAGACCATGATGCTTTGCCGAGGAGATTCGCTCCACCAGCTCCTGATTGTCGTCCTGATTGGAACGATGCTTCAATCAGCTGAAGCAATGGCATCTCGAATGAACCCCAACAACAGATTGTTGCCGCCACAGCAACAACAGCATATGACCACCTTGTCCCCGTCCCAGCCTCGCAACCCAACTTTCATTACGAGCCGACAACTCGCTCCACAATCTGCCCAGCACAACGAGAAAGTCAGCAGCGCACGGAAATCTCCTCTATTTAGTGCCAACCCTGCTGCTGCTGTCACAACCGCGGCGGCCACAATCCCCGCGACCAGCGTAGCGATCCCATTGAAGAAACGACTTTTGTCCATTCGAGGCGGGGCTGCTACTGCCGGGTTTGCTGTCAAGGGTTTTATCCAGAGCATCCTCGATGATGTAGCAGCTTCCAAAACCAAGAGTTGGATTGTTTTGGTGTGCGCCATTCTTTTGGAGACATGTGCTTCCACCCTGTCCAAGAGAGCAAGAGACACCGCAAATGTTGGGCTTTTTGGCATTTCTGTATGCTTGAATCTGATCAGGTATGTAGGTTGGTCAAGGTCAACAGTTGCCCTGATCTCAGCCATTTTATGTGGGCTCACAATTGGATCCTTTGTTTCTTCACTTTTTCCAGTCTGTGTGGCTTTTGCACATGTTTGGCCAAATTGGATGTTGGTGTTGCTTATGCCGTCTGGGCAGCGCTAGGAACGGTGATTGTTACCACTGCTGGAATCTTCTTTTTCAATGAAGCCATGGATCCCATCAAGTTGGTGAGCCTTCTGCTCGTCATTGTTGGTGTAGTTGGTCTCAACTTGAGCGATGGTCACTAGTAGACGAACGAGCAATTCACCGATTTAGAAAAGATTGTTGCCTTATTGCTGTGATTGCATACATGATGAAAGGCGCATTGATCGGTCGCATCTGATGCAGCGTCGGTTGCTCTCTTGTGGAACCTACACCCCCAAGCACCGCTAACCAAGGGAATGCAAGGTGCTGGCACCATCTGGTTGAAATTGCAAGCACAAGGCTCAACTCAAACAATGCCATCCTCGAAATTGTTCTAGGCACCCCAGAAGTAGTGATTTTCTTTGCCTCAGCATTGGATTTTTGAGGAGGGTGTGAGCTGTTGAGTTTGTATCCCTCTATGGAAGTATTGTAGGAGCCTTATCTATTCCGCTAGCAAGTAGCTGGCGTCCATACCGGTAACATCCATGCACGTAGGCCACACAGAGAATTGATCGAACATAAACGGCGTACATTGCAAATTCTACATGAATTGATGGCTGCATTTCTCTACCGGTAAAAATATGTTCCTCCTGGACTCCTACATCTGTTTCCAGATTTGGGTCAATCGAAGCCTAGTAGGACAGCATTTCGAAGAGCACGGTAGTTTTTCTCCAGGGTTACTCGGCATTTTGTCTATTTAAGCTGTTGTGTCTGATTACAGAGTTGCTTAAATGTTCTATGCTCCTTAGAAAAAGTGGCTTATGTCTCACAATGTCTCACTTTGTCCACCAATGTCTCACAATGTCTCACTTTGTCTACCAATGTATCACTTTGTATACTAATGTGTACCAATGTATCACTTTGTCTACTAATGTCTACAAGGTACTGTAAAACAGTACAAAAATGTCTCACAATGTCTCACTTTGTCTACTAATGTCTCACAATGTCTCACTTTGTCTACTAATGTATCACTTTGTATACTAATGTCTACCAATGTATCACTTTGTCTCCCAATGTCTCCTAATGTCTTAAATCTTTTCAATTTTCTGTAGACATTTCCATAAGTCAAAGGATCACTTTATTGCCAAAAGGCAAACAGACAAAATGCCGAGTAACCCAGCCGCGGGTTTTGATGCGAGCAAAAATGGACAAGGATACCGATACAACACTAGCTAGTGGATACGGTACGAGCTACTATGTGTTGGCTGGCAAAGAGAGATACCCAGAGGCACCCCTGTCTCTTCTACAACATCATGATAGCTACTAGCTAGTATCATGATCTGGAGCTGCATGTGTCATGCAAAAACTTGCCACCAGTGGCTCGACTTTGCAAGATGTGCTGATGGTGATTTTATTAAGATTGTCGACTATTGTACATCGCGTTGCACCACCAACAGCACCGTCTCGTCCATGTCGGAAAGGGAAGAAAGAAGACATGGTTCGTTTCGAGGGCCGACCGACAACAAAGAACGGCTCCAAGTTGGTACGGATCGTCATGCTGTAGCCTCACTTATAGCAGTCGCTGAAATTCCGCAGCGGTCTACATATCATCTCCATTCCAGACCACCACATACGACTCGACCAAATTTTTCAAAGGCATCTTGCGTGGCAGTTCATACGTCCTCAGAGAGCTTGCTTTAGACAACATCTTTCCGAGCTCCTTTCGGTTGACAGGTTGCTGCTTGGTGACTGAGGCACTTCTGCTGGCGGCATCGTCAGCTGGTTTAGCAGTCCAAGCAGCCCTTGCCGCTTCCCAGGTTTCGAAACCGCAGTTGTGAAACACCTTTGTGGAGCTACTGGTACCGCTGCTGCTGTCACCATCAAAGGCTTTCTTTTCAATGCTTTCGTCCACGCTCTCACCCGAGGCTCCACTACTGTTTAATGGCCAGGTGGTGTCATCTTCAGTGTTTGTTAACTCGTCTTGGTTCTTCCACCAGTCAGTCTCGGCCGGAGGAGCATCGCGAATTTGTTCTGAATTAATAAACAAAGATAATAGACAGGTTAATACAAATACCCACAGCGAGACTACTATCCATTATCATTATCCATGATAATGGATAATAGATAATAGACTTCTTCTCAAGGAGAGAGAGAGAGGTGCTCAAATCAAGGAACGTACCTACACGCCATGCTGCCTCGGAAGTGCTCCCCACGGATGTCAGGGAGTGATGACTTGTTTCGTCATTAGTAGAACAGGTACCCATGCTGCTCTTCTTTCTGATAATACCCAAGGTAGCCCTCCTCTTGCGACAAGGCGAAGACAGCTCGTTGCTACTGCCACTGCTACTCACAGCTGCTGAAGTACCGGGAGAAGAGGACCTGCGACGAAGAGTCTTTGTCATGAACTGTTTTAGAAGCTTCATCCTCTCACTGTGTTGGGGGTCTTCGCGCCGCGGAAAATAGTAAGGCAAGCAAGAATTCCACAAATAATCTTTCGCAGTTTGTAGTTAGCCCAGCACACAGGCCGGCTCCGGTCACGAGCAAATTTCTTAACTACTCTTGCGAGACGGGGCCTACAAGACTACTGCTAAGAACCTTCACTGTTGAAGAATCACGGTTACATCCCCTAAACCGTTCCAAAGACCTGGAGAGGTCGCCAGATTCTCACGAGTCGAGTCGAGTCCCTTTCACAAACTATTTCGTCTTTGTCTTGTGTACCGGTATCGGTGGTGGCAACAGGACTCCAAAGCTGTTCAGGTAGTTGGCAACCGTAGCCACTACTAGATAGCAAAGATCTAGCTACATGGCATGTATGTGTATGCGAGCTGTGAATCTCGATCGGGACGATGATGAACTTGGTCTTGCAATGCTGGTCGTACCGGTACCAGGACGGTAGCTCCTGTTCGTAACTAAAGCTGCCCATACCGTACGGAATCTACGATGAACGAACTGAAATGTACTCGCCAATCGTTTCTATTACTAATAACTATACATTGCTACATCAATGTTCATCAGCCTTAGACGAGCCCGCAAGCAGAGGGATACCTTCCTCATATGATGCTTCCAGAGCTATTTCGTCTAGCTAGAGGCTGTCGCTCTTCAATGTCTGCATTAGACTCGTCTTGCTGCTGCTCTACTAGCTGTGTTGCTTCCTCGCCTGCTGTTTGCAGCTCCGCAAGGCTAATAGAACCACTGAGACTAGTCCTTTGTACAGTCGTTGCGACCCCACTTCGCATTCGCCGAATATCCTGAATAGTTTCCTCGGGAAAGAAACTGCTCCTGAGTCCGTCGGAAAATTTCCAGCGTTGGTCCAATACTTGCGGTGGACGATAGGTTGGATTCAACCCTTGACTTTGTCGTGTTTCTGCCGTGACGGCGGAATGTTGCGATTCGAGGGATTCTCGCGATTGCAATCGCAGTGGTTGCGATGTCGGGGTATTGTTACTGTTGCTACTACTGCCCGGACCGGTATGGCCCACTTGATTGTTGGCATTCAATGTCAAGTTTCTCAGTTCGGGTGGGATACTGGATGGCAGGTACTCCTTGTAGGAAAATGTATAGCTGTGCGCGACTGCAAAGAATACCATTTCGGTACAGATGCAGTAGTCAATGACGGCATTGGAGATTTCATCTCCACTCCATCCCGCGGTATCTTTGATGAATCCCTTGGCCTTTAAAAAGTAAATAATGACGCCTTGCCACCATGTGAAGAAAACAACTCCCTTTACACATAGGAACTTTCCCAGTGGTCTCCAATTGATGGGATGCTGCAATTCTCCGTGAACTGCATGGAAGAGCATGACGAGTACGTAGAGTGCGTACATGACGGACGTGTTGAGTAGAAATGCCATGTAGGGATAGGCTGAATTCCAATGGAACTCTCCTTCTCCGTAGCATCCTGCCGTTTCAAACATATATGTCAAAATGGTGGCGGCGGTCTTGACCACGACGTACTGTAGGACGCCATGTTTGCACTGGAGCATGAACTCGGTTCCCAATTGCCAATCCGGCAGTATCTGATTCAAGGGCCAGGCGTGTTTTCCCAAGTGTGGTTGTGTCTCTGCCTTACTTTCGAGGATTCGTACGAGTGCTTGCTGTCCTCCCAATAATTCAATCAAATAGTAGAGAAAGGAAGCAATTACAAATGCCTCGTACAAATCTCGAATGGCATCAATGTAAATGCGTGCTTCCCGAAATCTTAGCGACAGCCAACTCTGTACGGCGTACAATGGCACCATCCAGACGATCCTTACCACATACTTTTGCACTTCGGGCATGTACCAATGTGACAAGTGCAGATAGACGAGTCGAAAGGACAAGACCAATGTGCCCAAGACCATGACCCCCGAAGAGTCAAACGCCGCGACATCGACACGATTTTCTTCAATGGCCGAGTATGTGACCATGGGCACCACGAAAAGCATGGTCAAGAGTGTGATTCCAAATAGGAAATTTCCCATGCGACGAATGTGTGGAAACAAGAGATTCCAAGATTCCAGAGCCGCCGCCAACAAGCAGTGAAGCTGTGGTGGTGATTGTTGTTCTTCGCCGTCTCCTCCTGGTGCCCCAAAAAGCAATGATTGTTGCATCGAATCGTCGGCCACGCTGTGTTCGCTGGGAGCATGGCTGTTGTTGCTGCTGCGAATGACAGGAGTACTGGTCCCACTACTACTAGCGTGGATAGTGACTCGTGGAGGGCTGCCTACATCGTCGCTTGTAGCTGTAGTGGGAACTCGATTGTAGCCAATTCCTCCTCCACCTCCAATTTGAGGACTAGACATGGACATCTTGGTCTCTTCTTCTTCTTTGCTGCTGCTGTGATAGTGGCGCCGTGGTGAATTGTCGAGAACCAAGTCTTCACGATTCACCGTTGATGGCTTATTGAGTCTTGCCAGATAGATGAGTGAAGGAACCCTTTTCGAAGGCAGGTGTCGTCAATCTCCTCCTCTTGTATCAATTCTCTCTGTCAATGTATAGCCAGGCAACAGACGCTTGAGGGAGGAAACACAATGCCGACCTCCACCCAAACAAAGTTGAAATAGGATCTCTTGCAAAAGATGGAGCGTTGACCACAAATGCGCGGTGCATGGTTGGAGTGGTTCGTGGAAATGCATGCAACAGAAACCTTTTTAGCCTCAATTGTCTTTGAGTGCCGTCACGCAAAATTTCAGTTGCGCCTTTGTCTTAGTGTTAGAGGTGAAGGAATCTTTTCTGGCCGTTTTCTTGTCGAAAGATCCACCGTTCACTGCCACAACCATTGCTTCAATGCCTACTAGCTAGCATCCCGGTACGGAGTCGACCATGGCAGAAACTAAGTCCAAGCCACCATCGTCGGCAGCCCAGCAACTGCTGCAAAAGCTCCTGGAGTATCAACAGTCTTCCAAGGACAGCAATGACAATTCGCATCACAAGGATTCTCCCTTGATTCTGTTTCAATACACCTGCCACATTTCCCAACGACTGGCCGCTGCCACCCAAACACAGCAAACAGCCAATACCACTACTAGCACTATTACATTTAGTCGCACTCGAGTGCAACAACAGCAAGATAGACAACATGCCAAGGTACAAGCCGAAGCAGATCTGTACCGACGAGCGAGGTTACGGACGCCCGATGAAAATGCCAAACGAGCCATATGGGGTGGAGCCCTCTGGCTCGAATACTTGACTCAAAGCTTGCTACATGTACAACAACAACAACAAGCCACAGCTTCTACCATGATTTGGATTTCCACTACGACACGACAAATTCCATCCTACGTTTTGAATAGGAAAGAAGAATCCCTCGTCAAAATCATGAGCTGTACGTCCATCTATCAAACGAGTGCCGATGACAACACGGATGATGATGATGTTTCTACACATCCACTGGCAGATTTGTTAAGGCAAATCAAACAACACTGCTCTTCTACTAAAACCCACTGCACATCCATTGTGATTGAATCCTTGACACCGTGGATCCAGCTCTATGGATTCTCCACGGTCTACCAATTCATCCAGGCTCTTATCAAGACATCCTCCAACAGCTTGGTTTTCATTCCAGTCTTGACAGAAACACTCTCCACAGCACAACATCGACAATTGGAAGACTTGTCCCATACATGTTTGTGGCTTTCCAATCATACTGGACAAGTTGACCTCCATGTCTTGAGGCGGGGGATTCGGGAACAGGACAATCGCGTCCGGGAAATATGGGAGTTTGAAATTGCGCCCGATACCAAGAATGACACTACTAATAGTAGACCATTTTCACTCCATGTGGGAACAGCCAGTACCACTGACGATGAACAAGAGGATTCAGCAGCACCACCGGATCAAGTCAATCTGGTCCAAGCGATGAATCCGGCATTGACCACCGAAGAGACGGCACCACGACCAGCCATTGTGACAGAAGATACTGCTCCCGCTCCAATAAGTAGCTCTGTTCAAGAAGTTACCAAACGAGCCAAAAAGATTTCGCTACAGTTTGAAGACGACAGCAATGCTTCACAAACCAAACAGAAACCTGTTGTTACGCAACAACCAGCAGCTACGCCTCCTCCTGCCAATGCCCCACGAATCTTTTTGCAAGACGATGACCCCGAGTACGAAGATTACGACTCGGATGATCTGGATGATGACTTGGACATATAATCGTAGTTGGATGAAGCTTTGTGGTATAGCAGTAGAAAAAACTAAACAAAATTCTAGTTTGCCATTACTCAGCTACCGTAGCTAGTCGCTCTGTTCAACATCCTCCCAGGGGGTAGCATTCAGAAGCGATGCAAAATACTGTTGTTCTTCTTCCGACTGTCCTCCTCGAACCCACTCGCTGTGGCACTTCTCCGCTACCTTGAGGGGCGTCGAATCGTCGTTGTCTCGCAGGTCGTCACCGTCATGAAGATGAAACAAACCATCATGCATAGAAGAATCCAACAGCGTCTGTATCACCAGTTGCTTTCGAAACAGTTCCTGAGCCAGAGAGGTGTACACCTCGCGGCTCCAAAATACCACTTGGGCGGCAAAGTGCTGCAAGTCCATGTCTACAACCAATGGACTCACTTCGGTCTGTTGAAATGTCAACTGTTCATTGAACCGTCGCCCCAAGGCTTCTTGTGCCTGGTGTAACAAGGAGATCAATTTTCGAACCCCGGCCAGCATCTTCTCGTGCTGCATCAATCCATGCGAGAGTGCCAATTCCAAATCATCCACGGTCAAAAAACCGAGTACGGCATCCTCCTTATTATTGGCGTATAATGTGCTTCGATATCCATACTGTGAGTTGGGGACTTTGGCAGGTCCGTATTCCCGGAATACCCACAATTGTTGGCTGTTCAAACGAATGCGTTCTCGTAGATTGACAATCGATGCAATCACTTGACCGCAATGATCATCCACATCCAGCCAATCTTCTTGAAGGCATTTACGAAAGGCATTCAAAATTTGCCACAATTGTTTTCGTACTTTTTGCTGTTGCTGCACGGATCGATTCGTTGTTGGAGAACCGTGGTCAAACAATTTCTTGGGTGTATTCTTATTGTTGGTGGGATTCTGTGGGGGGTTCCGTCCCTTTTTCTTTTTCTTGCCACTCGTGCTGTTCGCTTGCTTGGATGTGCCACCGCTCAGCATGAATTGCTGAAAGGCAGCCTGCATTTCCTCTGTGGAATCGTCCTTGCTCATGGTTGATACTATTCTGGTGTCTATCAACCTGTCTTGTTTAGTAGTTTATTGACGAATGTAGTGATGGGGGCAGAGCTTGCAGAAGAACCTATCTTCCTTGTTGCTGTTGCTCTAGTTTCTTTTGTTCCTCGAGCCAAGCCTTGCGCTTTTCTCTGTACTCCCTCTTGGATCGCTCTTGCGCTTTTACAATTTGCTCGGGGCGTTCCTGACTGAAGTAGTGCTCTCCTTGTTTGCCACCCACTGTGCTCCTGTAGATTGGATAGCCCGTCACCACCAAGATGGTGCTGACCGCCACAAACACTTTGAATCCCGGACTTCCTGGGTATTTCGCCACTGAAGGAAACGAAGAAAGAGAAGGGAGACGGTGAGTGAATGGCATCAATACGGAGTGATCAGTGATGTGAGCTCAGTTGACCTGTGCCTGCGAATATGTCCAAAGAAATTAGATTCGCCTAGGTGTGCCATCAGAGGTTTCTTCATTCAGGACTCCGCCCAACTTTTATGACGTCCAATCAGTCAGATAATCAAGGAAGCCATCACTATTGGTACTACCGGTACTTACACCGCGCATCAAGACCTGCCATTGTCAACTTGTCGTTGACCCGAATTGAATTGGTAAGATAATGCGAATGGTTGGCCCTGCTTTTGCTACAGGGAGGATCGACCTACTCTCAGCCTTCTGGCAGCTCTTCTGACTCACTCAACCTTTCTCTGGGACTGACATTTGATACATGTACCCGTACCGGTGCCGGTACAACTGTAGTCAAACGGCTCGCAAAGGCTTACAACTCTGTCATCTTCCTCGCCGTGGTTCCACGGGACATGGGGGAAATCCACAACCAATCCAAACCACCGCGCAACCATGCACTCCATGGCTCAGGACAACATTTCCAAATTAATAGTGTGCGCATGGGCTGGCTGTTCAGCTACTAGCTAGCTAGTCTAGACATGACAGAAGAAGCAATCGTCCCCGCTTTCTTTGTTTTTTAGTTTGATTTTATAGTAATTATGCAGTTTCTCGTTGGTTGCTCTTGTGTTGCTTTGGAGGAATTTGTTGTGTCCCAGTTCGTCGTTTGGTTGGTACGATTGTTTTGCTCGTTGCATCTCTGCATACCACTCCATTGCGGTTCCCATCGTTGGTGTTGTTTTGCTTGGTTCCCATCATTGGTGTTGTTTTGCTTATTGTACCCTTTCCGTTCTCATCGTTCAGTTGATACGTCGTAATTCATTGTTGTATCGATCCTCGCGATTCCCGTTTGTCGTCGATGTCTTGTTTGGTTGACACGCTGTTTCTTGCTTCTTGTATCTCTGTGTTCCCAGTCATCGTCGATGTCTTGATTGTCGTCATTTGGTTGATACGCTGATTCTTGCTTCTTGTATCTCTATTCCCTTCATCGTTCATTGTTTGATTTCCCCGATTCTTCGTTGATTGTCTTCTATGAAAATATGTAGTTGTCCCCTTGTCAGTGGTAGATTGCACATCTCGGAACTCGAATGTTAATTGTTTCGCTGGATACGTTCAATCCATTCGCTCCTGGAAGTTGTGAGCTGCGACAACAAAGGCCCGAGTCGCACTTTCAATGGGGTCCCCTGCACCATTTCTTCCACCACTGACAGAATTTCGTTGCATTCTTCCAGCAAGAAAGTGTCCCATGCAACAATCTGGATGAACTCGAGTAGCTGCTTTTCAAATTTGAGAAACTCATCCATTCGGAATGCAAGGTTGTAGGTACCAGTAGTCGCGTCAAAGAAGTCCTTCTTGATCGTCTCAAGCAGCTGAACTTTTGCAATTGCTGCTTGCATCTGCTTCGTAGCCTGCTCGTGTAGCTCTCGATCATCCCCAAATGCTGGGAGGAATCTCTTGGCAGCAGTTTCAAACCTATCTCGAATCTCCCCAACATTGTTGGACTCGCGTGCAAAGTTGATGGCGTTGTGAACCATAGCCACACCCCGAGCCTTGTGCTCCTGTGGAGTCATCTCCACTCGGCCTTCGTCGATGTGCGTAACGATCTTCAACAGATCGAGATGCTTGAAGCAGCGGGAAGCAAAATCTGAGAGCGTCTGCTCACCCTTCGTTGAACGCCTTCCATCATGCTCAAACTCCACCAGGAAAAGTCTATTCCTAGCACGGGTCAACGCCGTGTAAAGGAGCATTGCCTCTTCTTCGACCTCTGGATGCGACAAGAGATAGTCGCACGGCTCTAGTTTGAAGCCGCTTCCTTGGCCAAAAACAACGACTTCAGCAGAACTGTCGGTTGTAGTCAGACCCTTTGTGACGGCAACCAGGAATGTGATTAGTGATCCAATGATAGCGACATCATGCATTTGGAGCCAAGAAGAGACTCATTTGGATATGTAGCTGCTTCGCTCACCTTGGTGCTGAAGAGCCAGGCCAGGGCATTCTTCCATGCGGCCCCGGACCCACGGCTTTCAAAGTAGGAAAAGAAGCCGAGCAGGCAGACCGCGTCGAATTCCAGGCCTTCAGATGCAACAAGTCGTGAGCGCTCAGTTAAGGATGAACCTGGGAGCTTTGATGCTGCGCCGCGTACCTTTCGCCTCACTGACCCCTAAAATGTCATTGCTGATACCCCTATCAGAGAAAAACTGTTTGCACGAGTCGAGGGTCTCGTCCGGCACCAGAAAGACTAGATTTGCTCCCTGAATAAGCGACCCATTGGCCAGATCATCTCTATTGGGCAAGGTTAGACCAACGGGGAGCGGGCCACTGATGATAGCCTGTTCATTGGAAGAAGGAATCTGGAACATGCATGAATGTCGTGAGGATACATCTGCGGTATCACATGCTTGAAGAGATAACACTTTTGTGTGTGTGTGTGTGCACAACGTACCTGGAACGACCTGGCTAGGACCTTTCTCACAGCCTTTGACAGAGCTAGATTGGCTGCATGAGTCCTGTAGTTGGTGCGCAATTCGAGCGTTTGCAAACAGTGCTTGACTTGGAGACCGCCTGGGCCTTGGATTGACGCATGGAAGATATCATTGACAGTGCCGCTGAGTGGGGATGAGATAATGAGAGGCCAACCAAGAAATATAATACTGCACTAGCAAATGATGATAGTCTGGCGTCTTACCCGCGCATTCGTATGCCAACCTCCACTGACTGGGCCGGGTGGGCAGCTGCAGCGAAACGATACGGCAATGGGGTCAGGCTTGGTCGCAATGGAAGATCATTGAACTCCTTCCCGTTAAAGCCTGCTTACCAATGAACAACGACCTAAGCAACTCCAGCACTCGTGCGCAAGAAGAGCAGCAGGTCTAGTTCCGAAAAGTCTTGGGCTTCATCGATGAATACCTGCAAGTAAGTGGGGTAGCGTTAGTTTCGTCGCTCGACTCGTCACTCGTGCAAGCACCAAGGCATCAACCACGTCAAGCATACCTTGTGGAAGAACGGAGGAAGGGGCTTCCCTTCGTCGGATGCGAGCCCTTCGCCATCGCCACGCTTGCTGAATCTGTCCCACCAGGATATGAAAGGGCTTTCCCAAAATACCCTATTGCCGTGTCGTAAAATGTAGGTAACGCGGTCCGCTTCGTCCCACTTTGGTGTATCAACCAGCAACCAGTTTTGATAGACTTCGTAAAGCCCATAAACCAATTCACGTTGCTCCTTTTCAAGCCCATATGCAGCGGGGAGCTGCATGTATTCTTCAAAAGAGAGCGAATTGAGCTTGCGTAGACAAAGGGCGTTCGATTTGATGGTTCGAATGGCTTGCCAAAGTGTCGATGGCTCAATTCGGAACGATTTCATGCGCTTCTTCTCGTTTTCTGAGAGATACTAAACGAAATCGTGAAACCTCGTAGTGCCGTTCACGCGGGAGTACAGCACTCGGGAGAAGAAGGGGGAGTGACGAGCCTCGCCATTGTCAGGACGCGCCGACTTTGCCAAGGATGCGCAAAGATCTTCGTAGGTCGAGAACGTAACCATCCGCGCGTCGGAGTCCTCGTCAACTCGAGCCTTGATTGCACTGATCAAACGAGGGAGACGGCTCACCACTAGTATCGATGTGTCCATGTTGTCGCAGATGACCTGCGAGACTTTCTGACCAGAGTCAGCGTCTTCCCAGTGCCAGCCCCTCCCAGTAATTGTGTGCTCACATCCGCTCGGCCCTCACACAGCAACGAGTTTTGGTCATCTATCTCAGAAACGGACGTTTGAAACATTGCTTTCGCGAGCTTGGAGTCTGTCGACAAGGATCGTATTCCTGGGGTGAACGTGCTGTCTGCAAGGCAATGCAGTTCTTTGTCAACATCTACCTTGAAAAGATTCATAATTCGACAGTAGTTGTATATTGAAGTGGACTTCAGATCCAACAAATGGGTGTCATTCCCAAGCAACAGAACGAAGTCTCGGGAGAGAGGGGGGAATCGGTCCGCGTCACTTTCGACTTTGACTCGAAGGAAGTCAGTGGACTCAATCAATGTCTTGTACATGGATGCGTCCTTCTCTTCCACGACAGCCCACACCAAAAGGCCAACAGAGAACTTCCCCTCGAAGTAGGCTGTGACAACAGGAGATAGAAGAACAAGAACCGTTTTGGAAATTTCGTAAGCAAGCACTTCGAAAAAATTCTGGATGCCAACGACCGAGCGGCGGGTACACAGAAATTTCATTCCCGAAGGGTCTTGACCTGCGAACCCGGAGAGAAGTTCCCGAAAGCCTGCTTTCAAATTTGGGGGGGGCGCTCTGAACCCAGTTGAACACGTTGGACTCAAGGAAGACCACTCGAGTCATTGCGTCGCCATACAATGCGGCGTCTGCCAACGTAGATTCAAAAAATTTGCGCTCGGGTTTCGTTCGATCCACAACTTGCATCCGCGTGTCCTCTGAAGCCTCCAATTTGGCCGCACGTGCAAGAATGTCGTCGGTAGCGATTGCTGCCTGTTCAGCTATTTTGAAAGTTTTCGCCCAATCGTGCAGGTGCCATGCTGCATCAGTTCTTGCTGCCAAAATTGCATCCCAGCCTGCTTCAAGTTCCAACGATAGTGTTGCTCCATACTCTTGTAGCTTGTTTTTCTCATGTCTCGCATATTGAAGTAGGTTGCAACCAATGCAGGCGTTACGTCTCTGACATTGCCATTGGGATCAGCCCCTAGGCGAAGGCATAAAGAGAGTGTCCCCAGATCTCCTGCAAGTACTGAACCAAAAAGAAGCGATAGACCATACTCATCACGGGACGAGTTGAGATCAAACGAAGCAATTTCTTCCACGAGATCGCTCATATTGGATGTTTCAAATTTGCATGCCTCAAGAAGCGCAACTAGTTTTGTCCTGAGCTTCTGCAGGGCTTTGTTCTCCTCGGCGATCGTTGCTACCGATTCTTTCATGTGTTCTGCATAGGTTTCGATTGCTTCTTTTGAAGTAGCAATTCGTTTCTGCAGAGTCTTCATCTCGGCCTCCGCCACCTTCATATTGTTTTCATTCCGCGCGACTGCCGCCCTTGCCTTCTTTCTCTTCTCGGCAATCTCCCACTGTTCCTGCTTTTCTCGCTCTCGGTCCAATTCTTTCTGTCTGGCCAAAGACGCCTGCTCTTCGTTCTCTTTCATATTCTTCGTGTCCTCTTCGTTCTTCCTGATTGCCTCTGCGATGATACCGTCAAAGTCTTCGTCAGATTCGTTCTTGGGTAGATCCAATGGAGGCTCCTTGCTAGGCTTGATGTGTGGCACACGCTTCGTTGGCGGCTTTGAAGCTTCCGGTGAGTGCTCATGCACAGCCTCGTCGTCGCTCTCACCAGTTGTAACGGAGTCGCGTTCTCCAAGAGCAGGGGAGCTGCCTACAACCTTTTTGCCTTCGGCAATATCAAGGGCACTCTGCCAACTTGTGGAAACAACGTCACCTCCCTCGCTGTCTGGACTGTCATCTTCCTGCAGAGCTGCATCGTCTTGGGCCTTTCAAAAAAATGCAACGCAGCCTACAAGTGTCTTTCGGATTTGATTCATTGTAGCATTTTGAGTACCCATGGCTTGTTCGGACTGCTCAATGATTTTTTGTTCGCTCAAAATGTACCCCTGCAGAGCCTTGTGCTTTCTCATGAGGGTTTCCAGCCTTGCCACTGTTTGGACCAGGTCTTGCTGTACGAGCAGCACTTGTCGTCCTTGTGCTCTGGTTTCTGTCTGCTGGAAGAAAAGAAACAGTGATGAAACTCTTTTGTCTTTGTTACGGCGGAACAGAAAGTCCACCAACGTCAACCCTTGACTGCTCTTCGAGATTATGTCAACGCAGGCTGCATTTTGAGCGTTGTCCGTTGCATTCGACGCAGGAGCCTCCACCGCAGTTTTCATCATGGCAGCATTCTTTTGCTTTGTCCGTACAGAGATGGGCTGTCTCTTGTGGACAGGCTGGACTGAGCCCTCATCACCGATCAGTTTGGTTGCTTCTTCCCCGGAGGCAAAGGAAGTCATCACGGAGATGCCGCTGTCGACGTCATGTGTCTTCTTGCCCGTAACCCGCGTCGAGTCAGATAGCCTTGGTTGAGTAGGTTTTTCAAGGCTTGCAGTAGCCCCACTTGGAGGAGTTGAAACCGAGACCGAAATACCGTTCTTCTTATTAGGAGCGCTGCTGGAGATGGATATAACTTTGGAGCCACTCCTTTTGGGGGTCAGGGCAATCCCAACAGGAGCGCTCGTCGAACGTTCCATTGCGTTTCCATGGGACATTGTTGGTGCCATTTGCAGTTTGCTTTGAGCCGAACTCTTGGACCCCCCTTGATCCATATTATCCCCCTTGGGAGGAAGTCCTGAGCCTTGTTTTGTTGGATCCCCTTTGAAGGAGCTCTTGGCATGTTGGGAGGTCCGAGCCCATCCCTCATGACCATCCACGCTGTGCCGCAACGACTTGTGGCTATCGGCAGCCATCCTACCAGATTCGTGGATCTTTCCACGTTTGGAGGAAATGACTGGAAAAGGATCCTGACGTTCCAGCTCCACAATATCGTTTTGAAGCTCATTGTTTTGGATAAAAAGCTCTTCGGCCCTTCCTCTCAAGCTCTCGGCATTTTGTTCCAGCGTTTGGTTTCGTGTTTCCAGTTTGTTGATAGTTTGTTGATAGGCAGAGTTTTGATTTCGAAGCTCCACACAATTAGTTTCGAGGGTGTCGTATAATCGATTCATGGACTCGACTTGCTTTTCTAGCACATTCACAGCCTCTTGCCATTGTCGCAGCTCCTCGTCGTGTCTTTCTTGGCTGACAATGCCAATAATATCAGAGGCCTGAAGCGATGTTCTTCGGCCAGATTCCTCTTGAGCCCATTTATCGAATTCTCCGTCAAATATCACATACGTTTGCTCCAATTCTGCCCGAAGCTGCTTCACTTGGTCCTGTAGGAACTTTCCTTGTTCTTCTTCTGCTTCGAGTCTTCGCCTGTAGTACTCGCGAGAACGGCTCGTAAAGGGAACTTTTTCTTCTTCTTCTTCACAGTGGTGGTTGGTGGTATCCGTGAAAGGGTCCAAGTAGTTGACATGGTACTGATTATTATTTTCTGCTGGCGGTTCGAAAACTGGTTTGTGGCTCTGCGTCTTGTTATTGTCGTTGTATGGCTGCTTGGGTCCTTTGTGGCTCAGTTTTGGCTTGCTACTGGAACGACCTCGACCTCGGCCACGACCTCGACCACGGCCACCAAAGCGACCTGCCCCCTGAAACGGCATCCCCGAGGCAGCAACTAACTCAAATTGCTACCGTTTTGGCAGACCCTTCGGCTTTTGTTGTTGGGTTTGCAATGACAAAAGCGAGAGAGCCGAAGGTTGTGGAGCAGCCGCACGCCAAAGAAGACAAACGATCCCGATCCCTATCCATCCACGCTGACCGGCGTGGAAACCTGAACCCTCATGGGTTCTTCGATGAATGACTCGACTCACAGTTGCCAGACTGGTACCATCTCACAAAACGAATCTACTCCCACACTTCGCTCACACACAACAAGACATCTCTACACTCCACAGGTCATCACTGCGTTCCTGAAATGGATACCCACATACATGTCGATTGCCACTGCCTTTCGCAAGATCCCTCTAAGGCAATAGCACCCCCGAAGACCGCCACAGATAGCAACCTTGAATGAACAAACACGCAAGACCGGTCCACTCTCTCCTTCAGCCATTGAACAGTCGATCGCAAGAAGGTTGTCTCCTTCTCTGCTCACAATTCTTCCTTCAGCCGAGCTGCAAGCAGAACTAGAATAGATTAACCTCTTGCGTCGCATCAGGGTCTAAATCTCTTCGAAATCCTCGACCATGGCCAACGCTTATTCTCTACTCTCGTCGACGCGGCAACCACTGGACGTTCTGAGTTTGACTACAACGCTCTTCTCAACCTGTGTTGGTGAGGTGGTGCTTGCTATGCTA